GCTGCAGCTGCCCGAACTGCGGCCAGGCTACTGAAGGCATCGGACCTAGCGGTTGAGAAGGCACGGCTACAGAGCGAGAAGGCAGCTGAGAAGGCCCTGTAGGGAAGAAGAGAGGCTTGCTAGGAAAAACACGAGGCTCAAGAACGCGCGGCAACGAAGGCGGCCAACAAGGCACTAGCAGCGGCAGAGAAGTCCAATAAAGAAGAAATCAAGAGCGCGGCTAGGAAGCGGTTACCACAGGATCGGGCATTGAAGAAGGCCGCAAAGCAAGACATTTTGGCACGGAATATGGCTCAGAGGAGGGGCGGTAACACAATTGACAAGGGAGGGAGGGGTAGCATGATTTGCGAGAATGAAAACATCACTGAAAATCCGGCTGAAACACAAGTGCAAGAGGGCAAGGACATTGAGGTGGATTTGGATGGCAATTGTTCACGGATGGACGATCGGGATAGAAGGATTGGGAATACTGAAACGATCCGCTTGTGTAACAAGGTGTCAATTGCCGAGGAGAAACGCATGCGGGGGGTGACACGCACAGGAGGGCACCAGGTTGGGGAAAGAACACGGAAGAATGTCAATCAGCCAAACATCGGAAGGATCTTGCGAGCTCGCCAAAAACCGTCCACCATTGATGTTATGCGATCACAAATGGCCAGGGGAGAACAGCCTGTGAAAAACTCACCTGATCATATGGACTTGGGGCCAATGGATTCTGAGTCTGATGAGTTCTCGCTGCCTTCGTGATGCTCAAGCTCAGTAGTTAGTGTTGGTGTCTGCTGGCTTGAATTGATCTGTTCATCCTGGTTGTACATACTCATGATTGCCTTGCGAATATGGCCGAAACCGATCAAGTCCGCTCAGCCCAAATTCCTTCCTCAACTTTGCCATTCCGCCAGCATAACAGTCGTCAATCGGATCAGGAGCCCTACCTGCTATTGGGGTTTGCCCCAGACGCTCCCGCTGGGCCATGCGGCGGAAATTGTTGAATGAGTCAACGGTTAATTTGTTTTTGTGTGACTGGTGAACCACTTCAGCCCCAGATTCCAGTTTGATGAGTTGTAGCATGTAACGGAGCTGATGATAGAATAGTCAGACACCTCAAGCAATAAAGATTCAATGTTATAGCCCTATTTGACTTACCAGATTAATATTACTTGAAAAAATCTCTTTCAACCTCTCAATATCTGTGCCAATTCCTGAGTGATTGAAAAAGTATTTTAACCAATAATTTTGCACCTCCAGATAGAAGTCCGTTGCCACAAAGTGTCCCGGTTTTCCCGTAGGCGACATTAGCAAGGTATTCATCACCAAGTCCGATAAGGATTTGGGTAAGATGTACTTGATCAAGATGATTAGCTTTGGTAGATGTTTTGAGTAGTGGGGCATTCCCCCAATCCCCTGGCTCATCACTGCCCAGCGTTGCCACATGAACATCAGCCGGCCGTAATCTCCGTCTTTCATGGCTCGATTGGCCTCCACTATTGTCCCAAAGTCTCGGATGCGGAGTAATAAATTCTTGTGCCCTGAGTAGTTGGATGCTAGCTCTGTCTGCAGCGCGGCGCCTGAGCAAAAGCGGTCAAAAGTGAGCTCAACCCAATCATGAATGCTCTCTGTAGAAACCTTTAGCCGTTTGCCAGACCATGGCTCATGAGCACGGTTTGCAACCAGTCTAGAAAAAAGATACATGAACACACGTGAAGTCAGCAACATTAGCAATTTGAGACCATAAGCATATTGCATACTTACAGCACACAGTACAACAATGTTGCCTCGTGAATCTTTTCAATGTGACACAGCATGAGGTTGAAATCCTTTTTGGTCACTGGCTTTTCTGCTGGTATCCCCAGTGCGTGAAGCGTCCTCCATGCGCCAGTGTCCCGGGCTAGTTTCTCATTCCCCCAATGAGCCAGATAAATTGCTTGGGACAGGTTCCATAGTGTGTGAGCTGCGCCGGGGATGGGCAGGATATTATCAAGACTGTTGTGATTGCCCAAAGCTGGGGTCCTCTGCTTGCGAAGGCTATCAAAAATGTTACAAGACCCCAGGTCCCCCTCAACAATCTGTAATCGGGAGTGGAATTCAGCCGGCGTGAGCCCACTCTGCTGGATGACACCTGTGAAGACCTCGCCAACGCCCAGGGCCGAGTTGTCCGACGCAACCATTAGTTTGAGCATTGTGATGTTGGGATCATCCGGCGCAATAGGATTGACCTCCAGAGGCTTCACCAGTAGGTCTACCCTTTTATCGGTGGGGGTGGCAAAGTACTTCAGGATCACCCGAGTGATCTGGGATTTGATTGTTGTCTCGAAGTGAATTGTACTCTCCGCCGTGGGGGTAAACATGTCGGGCCGAATTTTCAAATCTTTCCCGATGTGTAAGGCCTTGTTCAAAGCCTCAACAGTGAGTTCGGCTGGATCCAGATGTGATTGGAGTGAGCGGGGAATGGTGTGGACATATCCCCAGGTCCCATGAAACATCTTGCTAGAATGGCCAATGGATTTCATGTGTACCTTCTCCTGAAAATCGAGATTATCATAGCATAATAGCGGCGCCACCAACGGGGAATCACCCATCTTGTAGATTGCTTCAAGTTTTGATTTCGCCTCTGACCCCAGACTCCTCAGGGCTGCATGAGCAGTCCTCCGAGAGGAGCTGATGCCTATGTAATTGAGGTAAGCACTTACACGCTCGGTCACCCCCCCTGCCAAGAACAGCAGCGCATTGCTCAGCTGAAAGCCATTATGCCGGCGATTCCCTCCAAATGCCACCATGGCACATATGGTGCGGGCCATCTGGGAGATAGATCACCCATGAAGGGCAGGTCAGTAAGGGGCAGACATAAGAATTCTAAAGATTGGACTAACCGTCTTCACCCGATTAGCCCGTCTGATCCCTCTGTCGTTGCTCTTCTTCAAGACCGACCCATCATAGTCAACCAGCCCGTCCGAGGGATCATCTACCCCTTCGTCATCTGAATTGTCCTCAACAGGATCCGCCGGAGAATCTGCGGCCCCGCCAGTGGTTGTATAGGGCCGATCGCCTTGAATCTTTGCGCAGAGTAGTTGATAGAGAAAAGGCATCCGATCCGTGAGCAAATCATTGCGAGCCTCTCGTTCTTCCGTGGTGAAGAACACATCAGACAAGGTTGCCGAAGTGTGATATGAGCCTTTTGGTGCCAGCCCGCTGACTGGCTTTTGTGCAGAAACAATATCGATTGCCTGTTCAAACAAGACCAAGCTCAGCACTTTCCATACAGTGAAAATACCAGGTAATTTGTCAACCTCACCTGCATCAAGATGAACCGTTCCCAATGGCCACGGCCATCTAGGTGAGAGCAAGCGAGTTTTCGGATTGTGAGCAACAGATTCTCTGTTGAGTCCCAACCTTGGTCAGTGCCCCATAAGCGTCGTCTGTAGGCCATGCTGTATTGGTCCTGCTCAAGGAAAGCTACCAAGAAAGACTTCGGTGTGAGGTTCAACTCTTCTATCAAGGCGCAAATCTTGTCAAGTTTCTCATTCATCGACACCCGAGGAGCCCTGCCGGCGGGAGTGGTTTCTTCGGTTGAGTTCATAGCAGATCCTGATAGATGTCTTGATCGAATCGGATGGTCATTCACGTTGGGTCTCTCAAATTCTAGAATCCTGACCAACATCTTTTCTCGAGTGATATGGACTGTCATCCACTCATAACACGTTATAGGAATCATGGGGTAAAGTTACTATGTCTTAAGGAGTCATGGGTTCCTCCAATTGATTCTACATCATATCGGGTTTCATTCAAGTACAGCTCGCTAGCGTCGAAGACGCTGGAAATTCACCTGAATCCATAATCCATATTCCATGAGCACAACGACTTGGACCCATCGATTGCTTGAAAAGCTGATGGGTTGGGCACCCTAGGAGTAGATATAAATGTAGAGACCGGCTAGGCGGTTACGAAAGTGAAAACGATATTAAAATTCCATCGTAGAGGAATGTGTGAGAGACATTTTGAAAGTTTGCCTGCCAAATTTCCTAATGCCCTCAGCCCGCGAGGTCGACTTGGCGCATAAGTCCCTCCTTCGGAGGGTCCCTGCGGGACGGCGTCCCCCCTCTATAAGGAGGGACTAGTTAAGTTAGCACTGGATGCAGGAATAAAAAATTGAGAGGTCAGAAGAAGATGACAGTTTGAGAGGAAATAGCGTTTTACTTACTTGAATAACTGCGTTGTCAACAATGCCTATCGATTTCTTATCATCAAAGCGCTCTGCGAAGCCTACTTATGGATACATGGGGGATCGTGAAAAGTAGTAGACCGAGAAATCAAGAAATTTCGATAGAAAGCAAGTAAAACGAGAAATGAAATCAGTTCCCGGAAATCTTTGACGATGAAACGATGCGAGAATCGAAGATCAAGATGAAGATAAACAAAACGCGTACGGTTGGTGCTCGCAGGAAACTTCTGTCTCTCCAGGCAGTTGCTTCGTTGACCCATTGCTAAAGTATTGAATGTGAACAGTGCATGTACATTTATCGTTGTAGGAGCACGGGATATTCGTGGGAAGAGTTTTGATTAGCGTCACAGGCGGCTCCCCCAATCCTAGCTGACAAAGCGACAACGAAATGATGGCGAGGAATAGAATGGAGCGCATACTGATCTATTTTTTGGTGGTGTTGTAGTAAGGATGTGGTACTGGTGGGATAAGGGAAGCGGTTATATACTAGCAATCAGGGTTGCCTCGGTCTTATAGACTAATTCCTTTGTACATCTATGTACCACCGTATGGCAAATTCTTTCGGACGGATGGTGTATGATTGAAGTCAGGGCCAAAGAGATTTGTGATCTTTGGCTGCAGGTGTATAATATTAATTCTTTCTGCCAAAATTCTTGTTGGGGCATGCTTGCCGGATCACGCTGGCGCTCGATTTAAAATATTAATTGTCAATACCACAAAAACATCATTTCTGTATGAACAATCGATTCAGAAAACTAGAGAAGCGTATGGTTTGTATGAGCTCATACAAAATGTTGATTAATTTTAGGCATGCCCCGTTCCTGGCAAAAGATGCATAGCTTTTGTGAACTCCTTGGTTATGACCAAAGCACCAAGTCTCGAAGAATCCTGGGCTTTTGTCATCAAGAGTCTTGTTATGCATGGAATATTTCAGTTTAACTTGCACTTCATCTTTCTTCCTGCCTTAACAGATAATAACCATTCTGCCTCACTGCTTCCATGCAGTTCACGTGAGTGAGCTTAGAATTGGATAGATTGTTGACTGTGTTAGTGTGGATTTCTTGATAAATTTTCTTGATTTCCAGTGGATCTTTTGAATTATCACATTGCAAAAAGGATTGTATGTATGTTCACACAATCATTCTACATTTGGCTCACTGGCAAAAAAAGGATAAGTACATACAGTGCTAATCTGGGTTGATATGTGATTATTGGAAAGTGTTTTGAAATTGATTTCTATAACCAAGCACCAAATAACCTAGATCCATCATTGCAACATTGGGCCCCAGTCCTTTCTTTGGAGGGTCTCTGTGGGACAAACATCATGAGGTACTTCATGAAGTTAGGGGTCTGAGCTTAATTCTTCAAATGGTTTTATTTTACTCCATGACTTCGAAATTACAAAAGTTGGGCCATTCCTAGACCAGCCATATATGAAGCCACACCAACACCCAAAATCCCAATGATCACACACTCTACTCTAACTATATCTGCCATTTTGTTCTCATTTTGTCAGCTATTCTCAATGGTTAATAATTCAATTTAATGTTGTTTGTTGTTGCTTCAAGGATATCAAATTTCCATGCTCCATTGGGTATTCTGATGAGTCATAGATGATCAGGATCCAAATGGGCAAGGCCAACTTGTAAGGGCCAAGACCTGGTAGGTCATGGGACAGGTTTGTGTAGGATAGGGTTAAACAGGTATGGCAAGGCTGAATTGATTTTTAGTTGGCCTCATACTGACCAACTGCAGTCTTAATGGGAGGCGACAGGACCGCCAGGGGATGTCACCAATGTCCAAGCACGCGAGTGCTTGAAGACAGCGGGGGCCAGATGGCTAGCTTAAGGCACGCGCACGAACCCCTAGATGGGTTCCACACGCAGCGCTGCTCTCCCTTAAGCTTGACTGCCTTCCTCCTCCCAGCTCCTCCTTCCTCCCTATCGCTCGTCATCCAAGAGCCGTCTCTCGCCTCAGTTTCCGACCGCGCCATTATCATCCACGGAGGAAACCATTTTTCGGTCCTCCCACCCACCCCTGGTTCAGAGGGGGTCTGGTGTAGCGCGACCCTCCCCCTCATCTCACGGCTGTCACTACATCTAGGCTCTTCTCTCTCTGCTTCAGGAGCAGGGCCTCGTCCCTTCGGGATACCGACCGGTGAATCACCTTGCTTGAGTGGATTTACCAGGCGGGACTATTCCCTTCAGAGACTCGAGGCTCTCCCCAAGACCCAAACACCGCTGACATGAAAACCTGTCTCAGTGACAGGGACCATGGAAGCTCACGGAAGACAACTCGTGTCTGTCCCCACGACAGCTAAGAGTTATGTCCTCCGGAATCGTGTGCAGAGACTAGAAAGGACGGAGACGGCTTGGACTCAAGTCTTGATGCAGAGGGTGCAGCTGGCAGTATAGTGTTGGCCAGACTGTTGACAAACTCATGTGGCAAGAATGGATTGTTTTGGTGGGAGTAACATAAACTTTGCAAACACCTGATTGACTAAAACACTTTGGATGTTTGGATGGAGTTTCTTGAGTGTCTGCATGTCAGCTTTGAAGAAACTATGATTTCTGTCGAGAGAGGGGGAAAGAGACCGGGAGACGAAAACCTTGAGGAAAAAGCTCAGAGGGAGGAACAATTGGTCTCAGAGCCCAAAAAGGGGCTAAATGCTGCTAGCTTGCGTGGAGGAAAAGCTCACACGCTACAAGGAGTTGTATCTTGTAGAGACTCCAGGGATCAGTGTGCAGAAGAACAGATGCCTTTCAATTTCTAACTCAGGAGCATGATTATTTATCTACATACACAAGTGGGCTGAGATGTGGGACAGAAGGTGACAGAAGCATATTCATCTGGAGCAAGAAAGAAATGAGTGACAGATGTGAAAAGGAGTGACAAGGATGTGAAAGGGAGAGAAAGGAAAGACACCACAGCTGCAGAATTCCAACAAGCTTCCATCCAACCAACACTCAAAAAATCTGCAGGAAGATGTGATTTCATGATGATATTATAAAATCATCAATTCAACTTTTTAGGTTGGTGCAAACAGTCTAATCAACTTTGCACACCACAGGAAGCCAACTTATGTTAAAAAGTCATCCTTTTAGAAAATGCATTGAACAAAACTAAGAACATTCAAGAAAAAAAGCACAAGAACATGTAAAAGTAGCAGGCTTTCCATGCATGGCTCTGGAGGAAATCTGACAAAAATGGTGAGAAATTGTGTACACACATTGTTAACTCTAGAAAAAGGGTTTCAAGCCCAAATCCAAAATCTTGCCACACAGTGCTTGCAACTTAAGTCATAATGGCATAAACAGATCTTCTGTGTGCTACCTCTCCTGCCATGGAGGACTCCTGAGGCTTGAACCTACTGACCTGAAAAAACTGTGGTGACACAGTCTGGTACCAACTGTGGGCCACTACGCTATGCTGCTGTCAGCCTCTATGCTACTAACCTGTAAGGGTCGTGCTCTGAGTCTTAACAAGAAGAGTAATGCAGAAGATTTATTTGTTGTTAAATCCCTCAACCTGTAAAAGAAACAGGGAGGAGTCAGTGAGGAATGGTACTTCTACTGCTGACTCATCCAATTATTCAATTGGGCCTCCGGACCAATCCTCTTGCATGGATTAATAGGCTTCCAAGGTGAGGACTTCTTCAACTCACTTGGGATAAGTCTTTTAACAACAATTCAGATTAATAATTGTATCAACACTTAAGGACCAGAATTGTTTAACCTGGGGGATAATTCTTTATGCAATAGAGATAAGTAGAAATGCATTGATACTGAGCAAAGTAAATCTATTTAGGTATAAGGTAGCTGAGTTGTAGAGTTATTGGTGGTCTAAGTCACTAATAATCACAGTACAAGTGTTGGTTTGATGCTACTAGAATTTCCTGGGGGGAAAAGGTAGGAATTAGGGCTGCTTAAATATTCTACAGGGGGCTCAGGGGAAGAGGAGAGGCCCTCAGGGCATTAGGGAGCTTCTTAGCAGCTCTACCATTTCGTGTAAAGATGGGAGCTGTTGCTGTGCAGTGCTATGCATTGATGGAAGGTCCTAGGACATGATATCATACATGCATAATTGAATTTATGGCCCATTTCTCACGTGATTGAAAGAGCTGCAGTTACTGTGCAGGGGCTGTGCAATTGTATGGTTAGTTGAATACATGTAACTCTGCTTATGCAAGCTTGTGATCATGAGAAATGCATGTGCTGCATGCATAATTCAGTCTTGCATGTGTTGTAACCCCTTTTAGGGGTCACCATCTGCTCACTAGACACCTGGACACGAGACAGAGTATGATGTTTTCTCTTCTTCATTCGAAACCATCATCTCATGCCTCAACAGGTTATGAGCCCTCATCTCATCTTTATCTATCAAAGCCCAGCGTAGGGCCCCCTTTTTATCTTCTTATCTCATCTGTTCACCCAGCGTAG